TAGATAGATAGATAGATAGATAGATAGATAGATAGATAGATAGATAGATAGATAGATAGATAGATATAGATATATATGACTCTTTGAGAGCAACCCAGAAGTGAATTGGTCTCGGTTGTTGTGGAATTCTCATTAAAACGTTTCTATGATCAAATCTGGCAAGGCCATCATGCAGAATCAGGGATGGCTCTACCAGCTGAAAACCCACCCAGATGATCAGGGTAAAGCCCTACTCCTGAAGGGCTGATGATCAGCCATTTGAGGCTGCTAAATCCTCCTGAGAAAGCGAATGTAGGGAGCCAATTTCATTGTATTTATTTTGTACAATGATAATAAAGATTATACTAAAGATCCAATCGCTTGGGATCGCTCAGTCACCCACTTTGCTCACGAGAGATTAAAGAAATGGCTGTCTTTCCCGAAGGCTGATCTTTATGCCAAAATGAGGCACCAAAGCAGGAACTACGAGGGAATTAAGGAAAGATTTAGATGTTCTACTAGGTATTGTATCTAAGCCGGGTAGAGTTGGCATCTACATCGCTTTGATGCTGCTGGAGAACAACAAAACCACAGGGAACGCTGAGAGATTTTCGCAGCCCTTCCTCAGCTCTCAAGAACAGCCCTCAAACTTCCCCATAACAGTTGCTGCACTCACCTAGTGCTGTGAGACCTTCTGAAATGGAAGACAGAATATACATGATTACATGTGGCTCCAGGCTAGCTATAAAATTCATGTGATCTTGAGTAAGAACTTCCAGTAACGAATAGTAGGACTGGCTGAGTTTAGGGTAATCCTGAAAAAAGATAAATTAAACAAAGGAATCAGGGGAGCTTTCAAAGGAGTTTTGTGGGCCCAGAATGTGTGACTTAGGTTTGGAGACCATTCAGCCATATTACCCCACCCCCCCCACCCCCAAGCAATCTGTTTCGGAAGCAGTGATTTTCAAAACTTTTTTACTTTTATGACCAGTGAAGATACAGCTTCCAATTTATTGGCCAATTATCTGTAGATAGTGTAACCATTCTTTAGATGAATGCCTAGACCAGAGAGGCAGAGCTGTTATGGTGCCAGACCCTCATCTGACTACTCAGTGCTATTTTATATACTGTATATTCCTGTGGCTTTATATCACGTGACTGTTCAACGCAGAACTCTGTCAATCTCATTATTAAAGGTTTTGACAATAGTTTGGACAGCTAAAGTAGCAGTTGTGGCTAGGGGAGCCTTTGTGCAATTTCGTGTTGTATGCCAGTTGTGCCCTTTCCTGGACCATGAATTCCTGCGCTCAGTCACTCAGGCTCGGTCAGTCTTGGTTCTCTTTTTACTGACCTCGGAAGGCTGGGAGGCTGAGTCAACCTGGAGCCTGGTGAGATTTAAACTGCCAAACGGCAGTCAGCAGAAGTATCCTGCAATATTGCACTCTAATCCCTGTGCCACCATGGCTCTTTCTTGCAAACCATTTTTTGGAAGAAGGGAGGATGAGAAACCAACCCTCTGCCTTGCCTTTGATCTTATACCCCGAGTGGTCCATCATCAGGGCAAAGGGCGAATGGGATGGAATCAGGCCTCATCCCTCAGCCAGGCAAGCAGCTACTTTCACGAAGAGCAACCTCATGCCAGAATAGGTAAAGATCCCTGTGTGGCCCAGCTGTCATCCCATTATGAGTGAGGCCAAATTATGATGCCATAATCAGGTAAGAGTTCGGAGTTCAATACACACACGCATGTACACGTTCTCAGCTGTGAAGGCCACTTGGAGCAGCCTCAGAGCTGAACAATCCCAGAAAGGTCAAAGGTGGAAGAGGAGGAGGGTTTGGGTGGGGACAGGAGCCGCTCTGCAGTCTTACCAGCAAGTCGCTGTGTGGGATGGAGAGCAGCAGCTTGATGAAAGTCTGCAAGGCGTTGTCGAGGGCATCATCCCCATAGAGGCGGAAGACACCGAAATTGACGTAGCTGCCACTCAGGGCGGCTTTTAGCATGGAGAAGCAGATGGAAACCCCTTTGAGCTTCAAGGCATAGACCTGATCTTTCGGAACTTCCCCCAAAGTCAGGATACGGTTTCCTGCAAAAAAACAAGCGCAGGTACCTCAAAAACATTCCTCTCTCCACAGAGAGCTTCCTTGTGCGGCTCCTGGAAAAAATGGAGGATGAAAAGCCAAGGGCCGGTCTTCAGGGAACGTGGCTGGAGCCACAAAATAGCTGCATTTGGTCGAGTGTCATCAAAGCCACGTCGCCGAGGCACAGGGGCAAATAGCAATAGTGCTTAGACTTTACAACTAAGTAGTTTACAAATGCCAGCATGTTCCCCGCAACAATCTGAGTCCTCATTTGACTGACCTTGGAAGGATGGAAGGCTGAGCCAACCTTGAGCCCGTCAGGATTGAACTCCTGGCGGTGGGCAGAGTCAATGCTGCCTTCTAAGCCTTGCAGCACCTCAGCAAAGCAAAGGCCCAGTTCTACTAAACTAGGAAAGGCTTAGCTGCCTTTCCCCTTTGCTGTTGGAGACCTTTCCAAAACAGGTGCGCTTTGGGAAGAGAATTGCGCAGACTGCCCCCCTGCCCATCCAGAGCCCTGGCAGCAAGCGGGCCTGGGCGAAGCTTCCTTCCAATCTGACCCAGCCCAACGGCCCTGAAGGGAAAGATACCCACCGTAGGTAGTTATCATTTTACTTGTTTCCCGGAAGAGCAGGATGCCATTGGGGGAGGAGACATCAAACTGCAGCCTCTGGGACCTGAAAGCAAGGGAGGGAGAGGGGGGCCTTGGCTGAGATGCACCCTCTGAGCAGGCAGCCCGAGCCCCGAATTCTGAACAAGGGCTCCTTGTGGAGAAGCTTCAGGCCTCGGCGGACTTTTAGCATTCTTTTGAACAGCCTTCCATCGCCTTTAGTGGCTGTTCCCACCTCCCTTACTGAATGCTGTAAACAGAGGAAGGTCTCTGGCTGCCTTCCCCTCACCACGGAGGAAGGGTTCAGGAAAGGTCACTGCCTTTGTAGACTCTGCCATGGAACCTGCCTGAGGCCCAGGCCTCGTAGGCCTCAGCCTTGCCCTCGTTTGGGCTGCTCCTGTCTGTACTCCTGTCTTTATGGGCTCCAAAGTAGTTTTACTACCTGGTAGAAGCCTAGTAGTTCTTTAGAAACTGTCTAAAGGTGCTGGAAATGCATCCCAGCCCTTTCAAGTAAAATCAATATTTATGTTTTCTAGAGTGAATAATTACAGCTTTTGCTCCTCATCCCACCTCTCTCCTCTCCTGGCCCTCCCTGTAGGGCAGCTTTCCTTCAGGCGCCCAAGGAGGCCGCTTGGAGTCCACTTACCTGTTGTGCACCAGCTCAGCCATCAGTTTGAGCACAGGGGTGGTGCAGGCCGGGTCATGGTACCAGAGCTCAACGGCCCGCTGCAAGATTGGCATGTAGGCCGGGTAGCTGTAAGGCTGAAGCTAAGGACCACCTGACTACTTCCAGAATCAACTCAGACATTCATTCTTCAGGGCAGAATAGCCAAGATTGCCTGATCACTGCAAAGCTGACCACCACGGACTCAGTTGGCAGATAAAGGACTTGAAGAAAAGACAAATGATCTACTGGGTCACTTCAGATAAGCGTCAATATGTGCTAAGCCTCCTCCTGCCAAATCTACATTATTTCTGCCACCTGCTCATAAATGCTAGAAGCAGAATTCTATGGATCAGGTGCCAGCTATGTTGGACAGGCTGCCTTTTTGACCAGCCCTGGGAAATCCCAGCATAGCATTGGCAGGCGAGGTACTGTCGTCTCTTGGTCCTCCGAGAGAACGGAGCTATTCCAGAATCCGGTCCTCAGCCTTATCCCCATTCCAGGAAGCCGACAGGCACAAGAGTCAAGGATACATCCACTCGAAGAGCATCATGAAACTAGTCTTGGCATTGAAGGCAAAGGCAATGCCCCTCAGGTCCCTCACAAGGCCCACCAGCGTCCTCTGGAGGAGGGTAAAGAGGCCCTGCTTCATCTCCTCTGCGTCACAATCTCCCTCCAAGCCCACACTGTTGGCTGATCCAAGGAGAACCCTCCCCATCCCACTTATTTCAAAGAATGGCTTCCTCGGGGATCATGGGGGTGGCCTTCTGGACTGCCATATGGACTGGGAGGAAGAACCAGATATCCAGACCGCTCCTGCCCTGTGGGCGTTTAGGGAGACCCTGACCCAAACATTTTGGACTTCAAGCCTAACAGAAGAGGGGAACTGTCCTCTTTTGAGTCTGGAAGGTTCCAGGTGGCCTTCATCTGACCCACAAAGAGGTTGATCCAAAAGGGAAGCTTTCTGCCCTACCTTTGCCTCCGGCTCATTGAAGGTGTTGGTGCTGAACATCTGGGCCACCGTTTCAAAGGCAGCAGTGAGGGGTAACATGAATTGCTCATACTGATCTTCATCCTCCCCTGGAAGAAAGACGGAAAAACAGTCACTTTCAACAATCCTCTGCTTTGGGATCCAGACTAAACACCTAGATTATTTTTAGATCCATCTGGTAAACCTTTGGATGCTTTGATCCTCCAGGAGATCCAGAGCTACACTTGCAATGGACAATATTTGGAGCAAGGTAACCAGGTGAACAGTTTTCTTTCTGAATAATTACGCTTTATAGAGAGTGGGTGGATTAAACTGTTCCAGTCTAGTTAATTAGGATTAGAATGACAAAGAACTCAGGGGTGGGGAGATGCGTTCGGGAGCACAGGAATGGGTTGCAGTACCGAGGTCCACCATGAGGAGGCGCCCAAGTGCCGTATAGAAAGTAGTCCGACATCTCATATCACTCAGGTTGGATTGATTGTTAATACCCAGGAAGGAAAAGTGCTCACTCTGTTGAAGAACAAAAATCATATTATTAATGAGGTCTAATTGTTCAGGCACAGAAACAAGATGCATCCTTGGCATATGGGCACCATGGAAAGGCCGGTCGCAAGGGCCTTCCTTCCTTGCCCTTGTATTTGCCAAGAAACTACCATCATTGCAAACTGGGGCGTTTTCCCTCCTCTGGGTAGAATCCAATCCAATGCAGGTCACTGAATCTGCTCTGAAACAACTAAGTTCTTTCATGTTTCACAATGGATGGAAACTAACCAAGGAAGGAAGCAATCTGGAACTAAGGAGTTACGGCAGTCAACCCATGGAACAGAAGTGGCCTTCAGTGGCTGTGAGTGCTCTGTCACTGGAGGCTTTCAAAGAGACCGGCAGATCATTTGCCTGAGATGATACAGAGTCTCCTTCTCAAGCAGGGAGTTGGTCAAATGACCTTTCCATGCTGGAAAGCTTTAACAACTAGAGTATGAATGGCACACGGTCAACTACAATGGAATGGGCAGAATGTCAACAGGGTAGCATCATGTGTCCTTCTTGCCAAGGTCCATCAAGAAAACTTTCAACTTGTCAGAGCCTTCTGCTCCGTGGCCAGACCGCTGCGGGAAAGCCTTGCTAGAAGACACAAGGCTTTGTTTTGTCCAAGAAGGGCAGGATTGGTAGGACTATTCTCTGGGATAATTTGCATAGCAAAATCTGCGTTTCATTTCATTTCATTTATTGAATTTATAGGCCGCCCAATCCCATAGGACTCCGGGCGGCTTACAGAACTGAGAAATATAGAAAAGGGGTTAAAAAAATAAGACACAACAAGATTAAGAAACAACACAACATACATCCAGTCTAAGCAGGGCTGGACCTCAATCAAGAGGTCAACAGCCCCAGGCCTGCCGGAAAAGCCAGGTTTTAATAGCTTTACGGAAGGTAGCTCATTCCATTTCAATCTGCTTCCCAATGTAGCTGGAGCTTCAGTCCTTGTCTCCTCTTTAAGAAAAGAGGAATCGGGCTCTTGGTCTGAGCTCCAAGCTTGGGAACTTGGCTGCAAACATTTCGTCACCATTCGAGGAGATCTCGTCAGTGCACTTTGAATTGTGCTCGTCTGTCAGAGCACTGGCCTTTAAATACCTGTTTATGTGATGCCAATTAGTGTGGATGTTATTTCTTTGGCTACTTCTGAGTCATAGTCTGAAAAGAGGAATCCTTCACAGGAGACCCTCTGCTGATAGTATTTGGAAGGCACACCGCCGATAAGGATTGACAAAACGACTTTGACAACTAACCGTGTGATTGTTCAGCATGAACTGCACAGCGCTCAGTTTCACCAGCTTCCTAACACTGCTGTAGGTAAAAGTGAGGTTAAGGAAACAACAAGACATTGGCCTGGTTAGAAAATGTCATAGGCATAACACGAAGGTAGTTCTCACACTAAATCATATTTCCCCTCCCATGACAGCTAAGAAACCTATCATGCAGCGGTGGGTACAGATGTTAGATCAACAAGCCCTCCAACAGACTGCCACTGGATCAGCCAAACGGTGTAGTGGGGAACCAAAATATCAGAAGGATATCGCCTGATCTCGCCCTTCCTCCAGGTGTAGGTGTATGAAAAAGTTTAGGAATCCCTGGTGGAATTGCATCCACTACTCTTTTCTTAATTCTGAATCTGTAAACACTTGGTACATAAACAATACACAGGCATGCAAATTGGCAGGTGGAGCTCACTTTTAACTTTCAGTTTCTGTTTACTAAGGAATCTACTGAAACATAGTTTGACCAGAGATGGCTAATGCTGCAAATGTTTGTCTGCAACTATCTGCTTGGACAGGTAGCCTTCCCTTAACAATGGTAACTGGACACAGCAATGGCCACAACCACAAGAACCATCTTAAGTCCTCTCCTGCAGCACCATCGTTACCATCCACCTTGCGAGATGGTCCAGCAGGAAGTTGGCCCAGACCAAGGAATTCCACTTTACTGGGAGGTTCCAGGAACAGATTCTTGCTGGTCTGATTTCTGCCCTGTCACCTTTACAGCCCATGAAACTAGGAAGAGCTGAAGCCTTTTCTCTGACCCGGCTGGGTTCTTCCTGCTGTCTCCTAGGTCATTGCGGTGCCTGCCAGTGGTTGCTGAATGAGTGGTCGCTGAATGAGGACTACTGACTATCATATAGGGTTCCCTAATTGTGGTCATCACTGCTGAGACTACTGGAGAGGACCAGTTAATAATTTGGTAAAGGACCGGAATAGCCCTATGAGAAACAGGAGTGATGGGGCAGCAGAAGAGCTTTTGAGGGGAGCGATCGGCTTCCGCCCAGTTCTGGCCTCACCAGGGGGAGAACCCAGGGTGCCTGGAGCGCCCGTCCGAGACCAGGGAGGCCGGCAGAAAAGGATATCCAATGGAGAGATCATTGAGAAGCTGCAACGTCTTGGAGGTGATGGGTTCACACCGTCCCCAGTACTTCAAGTTAGTGATTCTGCAGGGAGAGGAAATGCACACCATCCAGTGGCTGCTGCTTCCTCCTCCTCAGGCCTTTCGTCCTCCCAGAGTCCCCGTCAGCAGAAAGAGAGGCTGGGGTGGAACCACTCATCTCTGCTGTCCTGAAGCTGCGGGGTCCAGGGTTTGGAGGGGGAGCTGCCTCTAGGACCAACTACTTGCAGCCAGAGCAGACTGCCAGCCCACAGCGGGGTCTTCCCGCAGAGCGAACCATCCCAGGCAGAAACCTTCCACACAGACCCAGGCTGCAGGCTGCGGCCAATGCTCCGGGGACAGCAGGAGGACTTACATTTTTCCTATGAAGACGCTCAGCACCATGGTCTCATCGTTCAGCCCCAAGACTTCTGAGAGCCGGCGATACAGCTAGGAGTGGAAAACCGATTTCAGCTCAGGTGGCTCTTGTGAGTTCACTTTCAGCCCTGAGCTAGGTTTCTATAAGGATCCCAGTGCCACTTTGCTTCTGAAGGGGGCAGTCAGAGCGGCCGGCAAAACGTTAGGAAGTCTGTTCTGCAGACCATGGTCACTAAACCCTGAAGCCCCACACTGACCAAGAATCATCTGCAGGTGGAGAGTTTAGATAAAGCCGGTCGTGAAAACATTATGAAAAGTTCTGTAATGAGAAGAGAGCCACCACAAGCGTTTTTTACCTTAGAGGATTTCTGCACCTGGTCTCCTATGTAAATCTTTCGGAACTGCTCAAAGAAGCTCAGCATGGCCAGCTCCAGCTTCTCATTGCCTGCCTGAGCAAGACGGGAATCCGTCAAGTTCATGAGCTGAAGAACCCTGGAAAGGCAGGAAGGGAAGGGATGAAGAAGGCCCCACTCCAAATGGCTCCTCCAGCCATTTATTCAAGAGGGTGAAATTTTATTCAGAAATGGGGGGGGGGGGCTGCTGACTTCCCACATCTGTTTCAATCTGTCGCCCTTGTAAAGTGGGTCCACAGAAGACCAACCCCAGGGGCTCCTCTGAAAGCACCTGTGAGCTGCTTGGGAAGTCAGGTGCACCTCCAGAGATAACCACTGTCACATGGCTGGGGCCCAAAGTGTGTGTATGGGGGGAGGGGCGCTTCTGGTACATTGAAAACCACTCTGCTCATTTCCCTCCACCCAGAATTTCATGCAGGGTTGTCAGGGAGACCTTAAAGACTCAGGAGTATCTGACCGATGAAAAACTGTTTGCATAAGAACGATCAGAAAAAGGATCCTTTCAATCTGTTTTAATCTTAGAATTACTTGACAAGAAGATTGCATTTTGGAGAAGGTTAAAAGAAAAAAACAGCAAACTCAATTAATGGCCACCTTGCATTTCCTTTCCCTCTTTTAGCCTTTCCCCTTGGGAAGAAATCTGCTGTACTTTGACAACAAACGTTGAAAGACCCACTTTACCATTTCAAAGCCCAGCAATCCGCCAATTTTCAATATTTAGTTCTGTGTTCTGCAGAGTTTGTTCTGCGGAGGTTGCAATGAAGGTCACACCCAGCTGACCCATCAAACTTGCATTCAGCTTGTGAATGATGTCAAGGTGAAAAGCGGCATCTCCCCACGAACGCTCAGTTATTACTACTGCTACTATTATTATTATTATAGCAATAGCAATAGCAGTCAGCCAGATGCTCAGACTGGATCTGGCATTTTAATCCACCTGTTGAGTGCTTCTCAAGGCCCCGAGGTGGGCAGAGGCTGATCACAGAATAGCAGGGAAATGTTTGGGTATTCTCTTGGATAGGGTTAGAGGTATGGGGCCATGGTTGTTCTTATTAGTGCTGGGCTCTTACCGACAGACCAGTTCACCATCCATGGCATCTTGCTCATCTGTACTAGCAAAGGATACTCGCCCGCCAATCACGGCCCCAATGATGTAGACAAGCCAGGTGAGGCGTCCTGAAGCCGGAAAAAGGAACAGAGCGAATGCGCAAATCTGTCTTTTCCCCACACACCTTCCTTTTAGTTAGACGGAGAAGGCTGCCCCTCTTACCATGCCACCCTGGGCAGCCAGCAGGTAAAACTGGAAAACTGGTCCACCTCTCTTAAATGTCTTAGATCTTGAATCCCTAGTCTTGTCCACTCCCCCCCCCNAACTTGGTCAATATTTTGTGACCTCTGCTACGGAAAAGAAAAATGGTATAGTTGTATACTTAAGAAAAGACATTAAGAAGAACTTCTCTTGGATCCATCAGGGACTTTGCAATGTCCCTGAGATCAGCAAAACACATTCTTCCTGTTCACCGTCTCTGCGGGACGGTTTAGATCCGATTGGACTACTCAGCGGCAAAAGTATCAGCTGCGGTCTTGGAGCATCGAGACCATACGTCCATATCGTTGCAACGTTGGCTCCTCCTCTCCAACCTTGGCAACTTGAAGACTTGTGGACTTCAACTCCCAGAATTCCCCAGCCAACATAATTTACTCTCTTGTAATCCCTTCCTCTGCAATCTCTCCACTTAGATCAGAGGTCTTCAAACTTGGCAACTTGACGACTTGTGGACTTCAACTCCCAGAATTGCTGGATGAGGAATTCTGGAAGTTGAAGTCCACAAATCTTAAAGTTGCCAAGGTTGGAGAGCCCTGTTCTAAAGGCTAGTGTCCTAAGAGAAGCCATGCCCTTCCCGGTCCATGTGACTTCCAAATGCCTCCCATGGTGAGGAAACAGGGGCTGGAAGACATAAAGGGACGGGTGCTGCGTCTGGGCCCCCCTCCCATCCGCAGATTCGCTCCAGCCACAAGAAGCCACAGGGGGTCCCACCTGCAAGCTGGTAACCGTGAAGTTGGCGATGAGTCGGATGACCTCAGGGTAGTTTTCCACCTTTACCAGCTCCCCCAGCTGATAATTGCTTTTCAGGCGAGCTAAAAGCCGGCAAAATTCATGGTAGTTGTTTGGGTCTGACAAGCTCTGGGAAAGAAAAAGAGAAGAATGAGAATCACCAGTTGGGCATCTCCCTCAACGAGAACGCTGGAGCTGTTCCATGAAGCCTTTCAGGCACCTTGAAATTGACAGAGACCATCCCCTTACACCAAACTCAAAGCATCCAGCATTTGGCTATCCTGGGACGGCCTGGCCCAGTTCTGGACCACAATGCCCAGAAGAAGCTGGAGCCCTAAAAGGAATGCAGAGAGGAGCAGCAAAAATGTTTAGGGGGTCTGGGGGCTACAATGCACGAGGAAAGGCTGAGAGAAGCGGCCTATCCAAGAGAGGGTTAGGGGAGGCCGGACCACTTTCTTCCAGCTCTTGAAGGGCTGTCGGGGGGAAGAGAGGGTCAATCTATTCTCCATAGCAACTGAGGGCAGGGCAAGAAAGCAATGGGTGGAAGCTAGTGTGTGTGAGAGAGAGATTTCCCCCAACGTGAGAACTATGAAGGCAGTGGAACAGCTTGCCTCCTGGAGTGGTGCTCCATCACTGGAGGTTTTCAAGAACAGAACCATTTGACTGGGATGGTGTAAGGACTCCTGCCTAGGGGGTTTGACTAGAAGACCTCTGAGGTCCCTTCCAGCCATGGGATTCTAAGATGGCTGCAGTTCCACCAGATCTTGGCACTGCAAGAAGCCACTGTGTGATCTATATGGATGAAATACCCTTTTGGCCACCCAAACGCCTGACTTACCCAGAGCAGTCTGTCACAAATCACAGCTGCCTCTGTTTGCAGAAGCCACCCAGCCATCTGAGTGGAGGTAGGATGCCACAGCCCCTGGAGGGCAGCAGTGCAGTAAAGGGTCATCATCTACTGGAGTCAGTGAGTACGGTGGCCATCTAGGCCAATTCAAAGTCAATTCTGCACTCTCCCCACTGCCTCCACATAATAGTACCAGAGGCTATTATGCCAAGAGCCCAGCTTAAGGATTCTGCTCGCTTGCCCTCTGAATGGCTCCTCCTTATTCCCTGGGCTTTGTTGGACAGAGAGCCCCTGGGATGAGCTTCCAGACACCCATTTGAAGCTTCAAAGGACAATCTAAGGCAATGTTTGCACAAAATGAATTCATACGTTCACATTCTGACTTACTTGGGGATTCTCCAGTATGCGCTTGACCCCATCCACCAGGTGTGACAGGAACTTGGCTCTTTCGGCATTATTAAATAGGGACCGCCGGACAGAAGCAATTTGCACTAGACATGACAAGACCTAAGCCAAGGGGGTAAAATAAAAACATGAGTTGTTTGAATGAGAGAATCCCCGAGCAAAAACTCTGCACAAAAGACACCTGAAGGCCCTGAACAGAGAAGCATCAACAGTCCTCCTCTGGTGGAAGGAGAAAGAGCAAAGCACTTTTTTCCTGACTTTGGATGTAGCTAGGCCCAGATGGGGTTCCACCCACCCCCTGATCATTTTCCAGGGGAACTCTATGAGACAGGGACATACTTACCAGGGGTGAAAAAGTGGGAGGAATGGAATGGTACAGATCGAAAAACAACTGTAGGGTGGAGGAATCTAGAAAGGCTGAAAGAAAGAGGGAGGGTCATCATTTCAGGGCAGGCTTGAGACCGCATATTGCAAACGTCCTCCAGGCCAATGCCGAGATGCCCCTGGATCTTCCGGGGTCTTGGCTATTCCTGCCAGTTTAGTGTCGTCTGTAAATTTCACGAGTTCCCTTTCTATTCCCTCTTCTAAATTGTTTAGGAAGATGTTAAAGAGTACTGAGCCTAAAGCAGAACTTTGGGGCACCTCACTGCTTCCTTCCCTCCATATAGATGTAGTTCCATTAAGACAGGGGTGTCCAAACTTGGCAACTTTAAGACTTGTGGACTTCAACTCCCAGAATTCCCCAGCCAGGCTACATTAAGGATTACATGTGTGGGCTTTGTCATCCAATTACACATCCATCGAGGGGTGATGCTGTCTATAGCACATATTTCTAGCTTCCAAGAAGGAGGTTGTGGTCTACTTTGTCAAAAGCCTTACTGAAATCCAAGCATACTCTGTCCGGGCTTATCCTCATCCTATCTGCCTGCATTGTTCCATGCTTCTCTCGACCACCTCACTGCCTATCCCCTGTCCTCCCCAGATGGCTTTTAAAACTAGGGGTTCTGTGTATTGTTTGGAACTTCTTTTATGCTACGGCCCTTTCCCCCCACTACAACTGCCATCTTTGGGATGGCCATTGCAATGAGTTTGGCCCTCATCCAGTGGCAGAAGGCTTTTGGCTGAGTTTAAATCACAAGGCAATTATGCTGAAAAGTGATGGGGAAATGAGATGCCGAGAAGTCCTTTTCAAGAGGTGTTTCAGAAAAGGCTCCTACATCCATTAACTGCATACAGATGTGGAGGAGTATGCTTGAAAATATTATTGCATTTTCAATCAGCAGAAACCTTTTAAAACACATTTATGGTTTGAACTGTAGGTGAGCATACATAATTACACCTGGACCATTCCATGACAAATCAATGAAAATGGTATATTTTATCTGGAAATTCTGCACAGCCATTATGGATGACTAAATATATCTGCAGCCAATTATTCTCTCTGCTGACTGAATTATACCACCTTCTACTGCAAAAATGGACTCTTAAGTGTCCCCCCCCCCCCCGCTGAAATATGTAAGACTTACTGACAAGTCAAACATTAGAAAAAGAGTCCAATTATTCAAGAACATCACCATTTATTATCTTCTGGGTATAATGGGGTTTCTGGCCATGGCAAAAATGACTGCTCTGTGTTGAAATTGATCTCTTTGTTTGGTCTCGATCTCTCTTTGGGGAGCATAAAGAAAACCTTACCTTTGCCACTCATTTGCTCCAAAANGTGTGTGTGTGTGTGTGTGTGTGTGTGTGTGTGTGTGCGCGCGCGCGCGCAAATGCAAAGGCCCTCTGGTGCTTAGAAGCAAGCAGAGTTCCAAAGGAAGATATGAGAGACCTCCTTTTCATCAGGCAGGAACTAAGGCTGACTCTCAACTGTTACTTAACTTCATCTCTGCATTAAAACACCTGCAGTCAGGCCTGTATTGTTTCCAAGAATCACAATCCCCAACCAGGCACAGCTGTGCGAGGGAAATGCTGCAAGGGAAATCCCCTTCGCAAAGGAGCTCCGGCATCCCAAGCTTTCCCCTAAGACAGGGGTGTCAAACTGGATTCCTTTGAGGACCATTCGAGGCATTGGAGTTCTGCTCCATAGCCAGCCAGGGGGGAGAGAAGACGGATGTCTCCTGTAGCATCCTGCCAGCAGAAACAGCACCCCATTTTGGCCAGCAGGATGCCGCAGGAGGCTGTCCAGACTGAAAATGGAGAGCAGTTCCCCAACAGTTTTAGCTGCCAGAGGCATCGCGGGCCACTCCTTTGCCATTTCCAGGCCGGCCCTGCAGGCCAGATTTGAGCACCCCAAGGGCTGGATTCGGTCCCTGGGTCCTGAGTTTGAGACCCCTGCCCTATGAAGCCAGCAAAGCCAAGTCAGGAGTCTCCTACTCGCTCACCTTCTTGGACGGCCACATCCATGGGGATGGCCGTGGCGCTCTGCAGTAGTTCCTGGTAGGACTGGGCGGATTGGTCAAAGAGCTGCACCAGGAGGGCACAGGTCTTCTCGTATTCGCAGCGCCCAATCGTGGAGAGCTGGTCGAGCTGCTGCTGCACCAAACCTGTGTCATCCAGCGGGTCTTCTAGGCCATCTCTGTGGGCAGACAAAGTGACCAATTGGGAAGACGCCTCCGCCAGACGCTCCTCTCTAAGCACAGGAGGGCCCTGGGGGATCCGCTGAGGAGGCCTGTGGATTTACGGTGAGAAACGTGAAGGCAGCCGGGCTCGCTTCCCTCCCAGCTGCAGTCGGTGTGAGGGGAAGGGTCCTTCTCCTGCGGCCGTATAAGTTTCAGACATTCCCTGGCAAAGATTGGGAGGACCAGCCGCCCCCACAGCATCTTACCTCAATATGATGTGGACGGACTCCAGCCTGGAGGTGATGTATGCTTTGGTAACCTCTGGTGTGTATGTCTCCAGCATGTGCGGCTCAGTGGCTTTTACGTAGGGGACAGAGGCGGCCAGCCGCTGCCACAGACTGAGGAGATAGTGCACGCTGTTTGGCGCAAACTCCCAGTGCTGCCGAAAGGAAGAAAGACGGTGAATGCAATCAGCCAGCCTGCCTGCCAGCTCTTTCTGCAGAGGGGAAGAGACCCACATACATACATACATACATACATACATACATACATACATACATACATACATACATACATACACATATACATATATATATATATATACACATACATATATACATACATACATACATTTTTACTGTTGCCTTTATATATATATATGTTNCATTTATGCCAACCTCTCCAAAGGCCACTAAGGCACTTAGCTGATATTCCATATGATGAGGAAATGGAACTAAGAGTAAGCATGCATAATACTGCTGTTTTTTTTTCCAATTGTCTATTGGCACAGGAAACAAAGTGTTAAGTATAATAAAAACAGGACGGGAATCTTATAATATTTAGTGACTAATGGCCAAATGAAAGTAATATGCAGGATCAGGTTTTCTTTTTCTCCCAAAAGCTGATCAGGCCAGATCCAGGACCTCTCGCCTCACTGGGACGAGCAGTTATCTAAAGAGTCTAATCTGGCTACTGAGAAATGCTTCTCAGTAGTTGAAGGACATTATTTTCTCTCTGTACTGATCACAGCAATTCTCTAATATACGGGTACATATTTTCTCTGTCTTGCAGGTATTGTGATGATTATTTCTGTGGACCCACTTAGGCAGTTTACAAAACTGGCCAAATTGGAGTAGGTTTCTAAGAAGACCTTCCATAGGCTTGCCAACCCAAAGGCAAAGGCCTCCCAAGGCCCAAGACTGGTGAAGGCCTGCACAATGTGACTCAAGCTATGTCTGTAATGATCAAGAGAGGCACACGATGGCAATCCCTTTAATGCAACTTAAAAAACCAGAGCAACTTGGCTCTCTACCTGATCTCCAGCTGGTGGGGATCTGCACTGTGCAGAGGTCGTCAGAGGACTCATCTGTTGATGTACCAATGAAGTCAAAGTTCAAACAATTGTGTGTGAGCTTGAGAAGCTGCATAAGAAGACCATGCTGACTTTCGTCATTCAAATTCAGGTTTTTTCCTGAAGCCTAAAAAAAAAAAAAAAAAAGCAAAATGGGCACAATTTTTAAAACATTAGCCCAGCTTCTTGCCAGCAAAGCCTAACAATCCTACTTATCATACACAGAAGCTGCCATACTAGACTCAAGTTAGAGATTTTCAGAGCTCTAAATCCACAGCCTGAACATTTTCAATCAATCAATCAATCAATCAGTTTAGAGCTGGATGGGACCTTGGAGGTCTTCTAGTCCAACCCCCTCCCTGCTCAAGCAGGAGACCCTATAGCATTTCAGACAAGTGATTGTCCAGTCTCTTCTTTAAAACCTCCAGTGATGAAGAACCCACAACCTCTGAGGGAAAGCTTAATAATTTTACCTTAATCGTTTTACTCAGTTGTTGAGACTGAGCACCAAGGTTTCAAGTTTTCTTACCTGTTTCAATAAATTGCAGGAGAGTGTGAAAATATCAAATAATGATGAGTCTCGGAATGAAGAAGCAATTTTCCTGTGCTTGGTCAAAGGATGTGTAGTGTCTGCCTGGAGATTGAAAAAGGAAGTAAAAGAAAGCAAGTTACCATTAGACCTTAAATGCTTATATAGAAAACAAGAACAAGGATTTCTGGTGGAGGCATGATGGCCCTGACACTTTCTAGATGTGCTCCAGATGGCTCCTCCTCCTAAGAAGATGTTCTCATCAACAGCCTTCATGCTCACAACTGTGGTGGGCCTTTGGCTAACCTCACTTTTGGAAATTGCCTATTTGACTACCTTAAGGCCATTAGAGACTTTTGGAACAAGTTTGAAGAGCCATCTGGTGAGTTTACTTTCATTCTTCAAGTAAAAAAAAAATTAAACTTAGGTTTAAGAATGGAAAGAATTGTAAATAAATGGTAAAAAGCTAAATAAGCGTTTGATCTAAGAAAGATATAAACAAATTAAGGGGCCAGACAAATTTAGAATTTTGAGAGTTTTACTAAAAGATTTGGGAAAGAATTATATAAATAAACAGCTTTTCAAGAGAAGCAAATTGTTTTGTCTCGCTTTAATAATTATAGAAATTTGAGACTTTATGGTATCCAAAATTGGACCCTGAGAGGACTAAAGACTCTAGGCAGTATCTTTGTGTTTTTTGGTTTTTTTAGTGTGGAGATTTACAAAACAACATAACATTTGCAATTTGAAATACCCTCAGAAATTTTCTAAGAATGAGACCAAAAATTAGTGCCGGTAGTTATAAGATCAATGCTGTCAGTAGTGATGTCTGCTTCTATGGATAGAATATTTCCAAAAAATGTTAATGAAGGGATGGCAGATGTGCAACAAATTTTGCCTACTGAAGAAATATCAGAAGCAGAAATATGTTTCTATAAATTTCTGATATTCCTTTACCAATACCAGGGTTGAAAGCTGGATGATTTAAGAATCTGCATATAGATAAGGGATGGGTTATGAAAAAAGATATGTTTGTAATCTTTTAGGGGGTGAAAAGTTATTAAATCTGTCTTTTTATTATACCTGTCTTTTTTCCCCTATGCACTTTTTAATCCTTCCCTCCTCTTCTCTGGGAGTTTGGAAGCTAGCAAGACTGGGATAGTAAGAGCATCCCATAGGTGCCTTTCTCCTGATTGTCAAGAGAGAATCCTTATAATTTTAAGACAATCATACTGATGAAAATGGAGATCTCAGAAAGGTAGAACTGCCATGGGCTGATTATAGAGTATATTCTCTACTGCCTGAAAACATCCTGTTTCCCCATTCAGCTTTCAGCATTTGCTTCCATTTTTCTTTTGAAGAAAAGGATAAACGATATGACTGATTTTATCTGTACAGAATCTAAAATGCCCAGTAACACCAAAGAATTGCTTAGCACTGTAGTGCATATAATCATGGTATATCAGTCTACACAGACACAGCAAAGATCACTCAAGATTGAACTATGTTAAATAGAAAGTAAAGAATATATTGTTGTTTAAGCCAGTGTTTCTCAACCTTGGCAACTTGAAGATGTCTGGACTTCAAGTCCCAGAATTCCCCAGCCAGCGAATGCTGGGTGGGGAATTCTGGGACTTGAAGTCCAGACATCTTCAAGTTGCCAAGGTTGAGAAACACTGGTTTAAGCAGCAGACTTTGGCCTCTGCTGGACCCAATCAATCTGGCTGGGTTGGTGCACGATGCCATCCACCAGAATCCCAGATATGCACCTTCTGGGCAGAAGGGCCTGTTCACTGGAATGAGGCTCCCCCCAAGATCCAGGTGCTTCTGAAAGGGGTTCAAATTCCAGCTCTTCTCCCAGGACTTTGGTGAGAGGGAGCAAAGGATTGTGTGGGTTTCTTCCTCCCTTGGCATTTCCCTCTGATTCTTGCCATGTTGGCCAACTTCTTCTTTTATTTTTTCACTGTATTTTTAAAGGTGTTTTTACTTATGAGCCACCCATAGTAGTAACTGGGAATTGGGGGGGGGGGCACACAAAACCTGTCAAATCAACCCATCCAATCAACGGGTTACACCAGGATCGGTGCCTGAATTTTATCTCCTCGCTACACCAGTTGGGGGTCTGTCATCTTCCTGGACTACAGCCGTCCATCACCCTTTTCAGCCCTGCTGCCCATGTCAGCTCCAGCTACGATGACTGTGGAGAATCAGCAGCGGAGGAGCAACAGGCACCTTCCCTGGAAAGAGGAGATGGACCAGCCCTTTGCCAGGCATCCCTTTCCCTCCCTTCTGACTTCCACCTGCCCACCCCCTAGCTCAGAGGGAGCCCTGGGGACCTTTGACCTGATTCTATCACACTGGACCGCCTGCTGCAGGTAAAAACAGAAGTGCTTTTTTTAAAAGAAACCTTTTAAAACGCATTTATGGTTTGAACTGTAGGTGAGCATACATAATTACACCTGGGCCATTCCATGACAAATCAATGAAAACGGTATATTTTATCTGGAAATTCTGCACAGCCATTATGGATGACTAAATATATCTGCAGTCAATTATTCCCTCTGCTGACTGAATTATGCCACCTTCTACTGCAAAAATGGACTCTTAAGTCCCCCGCCCCCTGCGCACTAGAAATCTGAACTATGTAAGACTTACTGACAAGTCAAACATGTAGAAAAAGAGTCCAATTACTCAGGAACATCACCATTTATTATCTTCTGGGTATAATGGGGTTTCTGGCCATGGCAAAAATGACTGCTCTGTGTTGAAAATGATCTCTTGGTTTGGTCTCGCTCTCTCTTTGGGGAGCATAAAGAAAACCTTACCTTTGCCACTCATTTGCTCCAAAACGCATTTTTTAGAACTTGCTTATTAGAAGAAGGAAATTCTGCCTCTCTTACTCACTCCTCATTTATGCCAACCTCTCCAAAGGCCACTAAGGCACTTAGCTGATATTCCATATGATGAGGAAATGGAACTCCCTTCTGACCTCCACCCCCTAGCTCAGAGGGAGCCCTGGGGACCTTTGACCTGATTCTATCACACTGGACTGCCTGCTACCAGGTGAAAACAGAAATGCTCCCAAGCCCTAGGCCCTCAGCCTCCTCTCGGTTTCAACCAACAACAGAGACCATCCAAGGTCTCCCCCTGGAGCTCCGTTCAGTTTTACCACTTTCAGGCCAGGCTTTTCAAATACCTGCATGCTTATTAGTAGAAGTCAGCCAGCCTGCCTTGGGATTAGGAAAAAAAGATACAGCCAGGTTTACGGCAAAGCCACATTCTTGTCCCATTAAGGGGCGGGGGGGGGGGAATTGAAGACTCTCTTTACTCTACTGTACTTTCCCGCAATACACTGGAAAAGCGGACTTCCAACCAAAGGAGAGGTTCTCTGTGTTCCTGGGCATAACTAGAGAGCTGCAGTTTCAGATGAAGCGGAGAATCCAAATCAATCTCCCTGGTCCCTCTGGAGGGACTTCTCAGTCAAGATCCTTCAAGCTTCTCTGTAGAGATAGCACAGTGGAAGGCTAGGACTGCTGAAGGACCTATCAAAATTTGGAGAACAGGGGTTGCCATCTGTCCTTTAGAAGAAGATAAGGCCACACCCTGTGGCATGGGGAACATGCCAGCCTTTGAGCTTCACCAGAACTCTGATGGTTACCATGCAGGATGGAAGCAAGTAGCTGTTAGGAAAGACTTCTCCAAAGGAGGAGCTACAAAAATGGAAAGCTCATTGTTGAACAGAAGAGATCGCTGCTTCCTCCAAACCTCTACTTCTATATTTCTCAGGGATTGTGCCAGAGAGGGTGAACTTCAAACTCTGGTGGAGTGTCAGTTTCTGACTAGAGCAGCACATCTGTACAAACTAAGCAGCACACAGGCACAAAGCAGCACGAGGCAAAATGAATGAATAAAGTTGACACTTACTTCACTGAGGAAGGCTGAAGCACTTACTTGATTAATTTCATTTGTTAGCTGAGACAAGATTGTCACTCCTATGATGCAGTGCTCAACACTGTCCTAGAGAAGGAAAAAGCAGAAAAGGTCCCTCTGGCAGAGCGTTCTCTATTGTTGTAGTTTATTGCTTACATTTATTAGTTATATAATGCTGCCTGACAATCCTCCTCCACAAGTCCCAAGTGTGTCCCTTCTCCAAAATGGGATACCACTAGTATTTTCTTTGGTGGGCTTCAGGAAGGCCACCAACCACATTTTGCAGGCAACTGAGGTTCACTTGCAATTATCGCTAATTATGTGCCCCTTGTAGGACTGACTTTCCTGTAACTGTTTGATAGTAAGTAGGTCTAGAACAAAATCCAGCTATGTGCCCAGCAGATGCTGTGCTGTCTTTTTTATTTTTATTTTCCTTATACATGTGAAATATGCTAAAAGCTTGTTATACAATTCAAGGCAGAATAGGATTCCGCCATGCCCCTTCCTCTTAATCTGTGCTCTTCAATACTGTCACTCCAACAGGCAGCCCAAAGGAACGCCAAGTCAGGAGAACAAATTTTAGCTAAGCATCAGAAAAAACATTCCAGTCACAGAAGGAGGCTATTTTAGGAAGCCTGGGGGTTGATGGTGCTGGATATTGAATTAGGTGGCTTTGAAGTCAAGCAACAGCTACTGGTCCTCACCTAAACTTTAGCAACTTCTAGTTCCTCTTCCTGGAAGCTTTTGGTTGAGCACTCTGACAACCAGGAAGCTAGATGGCGGAGACCTTTGATCTAGTGATTGGGGCAGATAAGAATTTCAGCATTTGGCTCTGCAGTTTTCTTTTTGTTGACCTGTAGTACCCTTGAACACTGGTTGTGAGAAACAAGCCTACCATCAAGGAAAAAAGAGTAGAAATCACCAGCCAAAGTCCTTCTGTGAAAACTAGTGGAGGTAGCACACTGACCTGCAAAAATCTTGTGACATCAGTGATGACATTTCTGAAAACATATTCATCCTTCTGACAGTCAAACCATCCCAGCTTTGTGATCCTGGCATACAGCTGAATTAGTGCTTGTGTAACAAACGTGGCCAGCTTAGGTCTGGTAGCAAGGTAATTAAGCACATAATTCCCTGAAACAAACAAAGCATCAAATGAAGACAAGTGTTTAGGAAAGGTTGAGTTGGGAAAAGTTCACCATCCCTGAAGTGAACACATGCACAACTGGGACTAAGCTGCAAACAGCACCTGCGACTTATTGCATGGAAGACCCACCTCCTGCCCTGCGTGGGGAGGAAGAAAACAAGGAGGGGGGGAGGCAGAGGGGTGGCTCCGTAGTGAGCACTGGGCATCCAGCCTCATCAGGCAAGATCTGGCCAAGGTGCTTCCATTGGGCCCTATCCAGATTGCCTGACAACATGACAGACAACAGCACAGCTCAAGCAAGGTTCCATGGAGCTTCTGGGAAACAACCGTTGACTTACCTGAATGGTCCTTCTCTGTGCGCTGCGAGGGGAATCCAAGCATGGGTTAACTTTATCCATTAGCCTAGAGACTGAGTATGTAAATGTTGACCACGCCTCCTCTGACTGGATGGGTCAGTTTTGTACGAAGTCAGCCGTTGAAAGATGTATGGCAATGTCACTTATGGCCGTAGCCAAAACAGGTAATAAGAGTCACGTCCAGTCAGGAAACAGAGCAAGGTCAGTCATTGAGTCAGAGTCAAGGAATAGCCCTGGCCAGCCGAAACCGCGAGCGGGTTTGGATTCCCCTCGCAGCGCATAGAGAAGGACCGTTCAGGTAAGTCAACAGTCGTTCTCCTGTGTGCTGCTTGGGGAATCCAAGCATGGAACATGCCAAAGCAATTAAGTTCCAGGGCGGGAGCTAGGCTGGTCAGGATCCTCCGGAGAAGACAGAACCCTTTGCAGCACTCTCCGCCCAAAGGAGGCCTCCGCCGAGGCATACACGTCAACCTTGTAATGTCTAATAAATGGTGAAGGTGACGACCAGGTAGCTGCCCTGCAAATCTCTTCCACTGAGGCTTGCGTAGCCCAGGCCGCCGTGGTGGCCGCACTCCTAGTAGAATGAGGAGTAATGCGCCTAGGAACCGGTCGGGAATGGCTGTCGTACGCCAGAGTGATGCACGCCTTTAACCATCAGCCGATGGTATGGGAAGACACCTTCTGTCCCATGGACGACGGCTGGAATGAAACAAACAGGGCCTCCAACCTCCTGAACAACGCCGTGCGTTTCACATAACGTCGAGGAGTCCTGCGAACATCCAAATGATGCAACTGGCGTTCCTGTGGATGGGAAGGGCGCGGGCAGAAGTCCGGGAGGACGAGTTCCTGAGCCCTGTGGAACAGCGTGTTGACCTTCGGAAGGAAGGCCGGGTCCAAACAGAGGACGACTCTATTGGGATGAAATATGCAGAGGTCCGCATGAACAGAGAGCGCAGCCAACTCAGACACCCTCCTGGCCGATGTAATGGCCACCAGGAACACAGTTTTAAGTGTCAGTAACCGGATCCTGATGGATTGAATGGGCTCGAATGGGGCAGATGTGAGCGTCCTGAGAACCAAGGTCAAGTCCCAGGTAGGGTAACGGTGCACCGTCTGGGGCCTCAGATTAGCTGCACCCTTTAGGAAAGACTTGACCCATGAGAGCTGAGACAATGGGTGGCCCTGACCGCCCTCAATCACCATGGATAATGCTGTGACCTGCTGGCGAAGTGTGTTGGGCGCTAAGCCCTTGTCAAGTCCCGTATGCAAAAAGTCCAAGACTTGGGGCACCGAAGTCTTGATGGGGTCAGCTCCGGTGCGGCGGCACCACCTGCAGAAGGCCTGCCAGGTGGCCTCATATATACATGTAGTAGATGGTCGTCGGGCCGCCTGAATAGTGTCAATAACCTTACTTGAGTAGTGAAGGCCGGTCAGAATAGCCCGATAAATGGAACAAAGAAATAAAAAGCATTGAAAGAATAGAACAACTCCCAAAAATAATAATTATGAGTAAAACAAGGGGGTCATGATTGGTGAAATCAAATCAGGATGATAGCTGGCATATAGACTGTAGAATGATAGAGAAAAAAGGAAATGATATGGGAAAAAAATGGACTTGTAGAAATAACACCCTCAAGAAAACATAAACTGGATTTGAAAGACACACCTATAACAATAGAAAAAGAAAGGAAGGGAAGAAGGAAGGAAAGGAGGGGAGGAAGGAAGTAGAGAATTATCTCAGTTTTCAAAGATCAAATAGCAAAATGTCCTGTTA